GGGCACGGGAACAACAGAACGAAGCAAATTATGTCAAACCTTCGTGTTATGTTTTCTCTCTGCTGTTAATTTTATTCTGACATACGGTGATCAAACAACAGTTTACTTTCCATATTTTTTACACGTAGATGATTAACAATTTCTGTTAAAGAAAAAAAGCACTGGGAAGGAATGTATGTTACTGTGACTCAACAGACTGCTCACTGCTAAAAAAGACTTGCCCAACTCCTTTGTAGCAATGCATGATTTTTGTTATCAGGGTTTAAAAAAAATCAAGAACAGAAAAAAACAGTAAATAAAACACATTGATATAAATCTTTAGACATCTTTTTCCTGTGAAATGTCAAACTTCATCATCTGTTTTTCTTACTGAATAACAACCAGCAGTCCCAGACTGTTTTCCATGTTTCCATGGGAGGAAGAAGTCATTAACAAAAATCAACTTTAAGGTTAAGAGGAAGCGGCTCTATCAGAAGCACGTTAGTCATGTATTTTTGTTACCAGTTAGAACAATGTGCTGTTCCTGGAATGCATATGCAGGCTCATTTCAAACCTTAGGCTGATGTATGAAGCAGACACATGCCACAGGCCACAGACAGGAGACAGTGCTTCTTCGAACAGCCCGACCACAGGTGACATCAAGACACACCTGCCAGCAGAGCCCATGAGAATGAGGAAGGACAGGCAGCACTACTGAAATACAGAGCTTGGAAAAAGGTGCCCAGGAACAAACCAGAGGGAAGATGGGAAAAGAGAGAATGCAAAATGGCAAAGAGAAAAAAATGTTTTCTTGTAGCTGCAGAGCCTTGGAAGAGGGGTCAAATGGAGCAGTAAATCACTGTAAGTGGTGAAAGACCTATAAATGTTGTGGGATCTCGAAAGAAGAGTTTGTTGCATTACAAGTAGCCACAGATACTTTCTGTGTTGAGCCACTCCACAACAAAAAGGCTTTTTGAAGTTAGTACTAACTACCTGTAGCTATGTTTACTTTTAACTGTAACATGAAAAAAAAAAAAAAGGAAAAAAAAAAAAAAAGCCAGACAAGCAGCTTTTAGTATTGGAATGAGAGCAAAGATAATTTTTAGGTTAGCATGCTATTTGTGGCCTATATTCAAAATCACAGCCACTGGGACCTTCCAAAAAAACTGAAAAACTAATGGGAGGGGAACAACAGATTCTGGAAGCACAGTTATTTTCATTTTCACGTTCTAGGTTCCCAATATTCTGTTGTTTGTGGTAATTTACAAAAATGAGGAAGCACTGAAATAGCTCTGCAAATACATAGAAGTCTACATATCATAGTTTGATTTTTATCCATTTCATGACTGATCACAAATTCCCCAAAATTATAACACATCCTTATTGTTATCTGATTAGAAAAAGGTACAGATTCTACACTAAGAGCATGCATTTTTAAAGAAGTTAAACCCACAGACCGCTCCAAGGAAGACAGCATTTCAGCACAATCCCTTCCAGCTTTTATAAGTACTAAAAGTTTAAGGTTTTTTTGTTCAAGCAGAAAAGCAGAATGATGGGCCAAAATTCTGTCTCATATAATAATACTGTCTCTCTAACGCTGGCCAATAGCAGGTGTTATTCTCCTGGTTTTATGAAAAGGAAAGAACTTAAGCTGTGCATGGCAGTTTCTAGAGGAGGCAATAACCACTCAGGGGTACAATTCAGAAGTACTGCCTAAATGAGAGCTTTCATGCCACCTAACTTCCAGCCAGAAGAGCTGCTTTGGAACCCTTACAGCTTACCAGATTTGTCTTAATACAGCTCATTGTGATTTGTCTTTATGCTTTCTCTTCTATAGCATTGCTTGTTCAACTTGGCACACAAAATTTCATGCATAGTGGATGATGCAGAACACAGCAAGACAAACTCAGATGGCCACTGTCTTTACTGTGCTGACAAACCCTGGAGAGCCGTTAGCCTCAGTTCCGCACGGGCCTCCCAAGTGAAATGGACATCTGGCATGTTTGTTACAGTGAATAGACAGAAGCAGGATGATTAATGGCTGCCAGAACCATAACTTAGGTATATCTGGTTTTACCTATCCGACAGCTTGTTTTGCCACATCTGCTTTCTTCAATGCACATATTACATACAGTGATATTGCACATGGCTTGACACCCATCCCTCGTGGGGCTTGCTGTATCCTCTCAGCCACTTACCAGAGCTGCATGACTCCTTCTAGCTCCCTCAGCTCACCCAGCACAGGGGTTCTGCTCTGAAATTAGAATGAGGAGCCCAAGTATCCCACTATCACCTAAGTTGCAAACAGTTGAGGTAGCTGAAAGAAGAAGCTAAACATGTCAAGTTTCCTATACATCCATTTAGGCATGTGTTTTCAGGCAGTCTTTCCTACTGCTCAATCCAACAAAAGTCTCCAAAAAGGGACAGCTAAGAAAAAAGAAAACAGGATTACAAGGAAGGATTAAAAATAAAGCACTGGAGTGTGAAGGACACATGCTCATGTAGAGAAACTGAGAAGTGGAGAGGGAAAAGAAAACTCCAAGGACTGGGCCTGAGACTTCTTGAAAGGAAATGATTTGATAAAGAAACTAGAACTTGTAGCCCCAGCGAATAAGAGCTAAGGGCTCATAGCTCTGAGACGCAGGAGCTGGTAGATGCACAGCTGGAAGGATGCATGGTTTGACTTAGTAAGGCCATTCTTGCTTGTGTCAGAGTCAAGAAACCTATTTGTACCACAAGACCAATGAGCACCGAAGAGCTCCTGAACAGGGTATAGCCATGAGCTTTCCTCAAAACTGTCAAGGAGAGATGAGGTTTCTCTCTCTAAATGTACCTGTATTAGGGAAAGATGAATCATCACTTTGGTAGCACCTGTCTCTTGTTTGCAGAAGATTAGGCAACTAATTCAGAGCGGATGCTTACTTTATATACAGTTAAAAATAGATGAGATTTCCTCCATGAAAGTTGTTTTAATAAGCGTGCATGATTGGGGCAGATAGCTACCACGGGAGAGATAAGCTGCCACAAAGGATGCGAGTACTCCTGTCTTCCAACTGATTTAAAAGAATTTGTGAACTCCACAACAGCTGTTCTGTTAGAAGAATTGCAAGAATTGGGACTCAGGCAAGGGAACAAATACTACAGTCAAAGAAGTTCCTGCCTTACTTGCTAGCAACAGGCAGGTGGCTATAGGGGAGAACAGTGCAGCACTACTTCATCATTGTTAGATGCCAGCAAATGCCCCAAGTGCGGGACAGCTTCTGTTCAGGTTTGCACATAACCAAATGTCAGCCGTGTGACATGAAGGCAAGGGGAAGCTGGATCCTACCAGTTCTACAGCTCTCTGAAGCCATGTTTATGAGGACTGTGCCACAAAGCAACTCGTTATTCAGGGAGCAACCATCACTCGGCAGGCAGCATTCACTCAGCATGCAATCATCATCAACAGGGCCTTGATCTGTATCCTGTTTTTTGCTACTTGTAAGATGGCTGCAGAGCTCCTGAAACAGAATGGATGCCAATATAACGAACAATTCTGAAATATTAACTGAAATATGAGAAAAAAGAAAGCAGCAATTAGTCTTCTATGCTGCACATGTATTTGCATGGCAAGCCTGCAAGGTAGCATAGATATCTAAATATACACACCCATGCAAGCTTACTCCTGTCTACAGGAACATGATTGCACTGAAGAAGACTGTAGACGTGTGGAACTAAACATTTTTCCTTTACAGTTTAAACACATGTAATAAACACAGATTTAATAATTAAAGCACTGGTTCAGGCAAAGGATCCATTGGCCAAATGGAGAGCAGCCATGCAGCTTCTGATAGAAGCCACTAATGGATGCCTACGGAGAAGTAGGATAAGTCAGGCATATACTGACCTTTCTTAAGTGTGCTATCACTCACTCTGCAGATGTGCACCACTCTCATCACTGAGTTACAGCTTTCCCAGCAAACAAGTGGAGGCCCTTTAATTTGTTCTTTTCAAGGATATCTACATCTGCAATAACATTACACCTATAGTTGCAGCTACTTATTTGTGCTCAACACTGTTGCTAAAAGCCATGCTTCAGAACGATAAAAAAGGGTAAAACCCCATGTTTAGCATTGCCTGTGCAGGCAATACCACCAAGGGCAATCCACGTGCAGCCAACCTCAGGCCTGCCTTAGCCTGGGTTTTACCTTGGGTCAGTGGAAGGCATAGAAGATGGGCTACACGGCTCAAAGAGGTCTCCTAGAACGTGTCCAAAGAAGGGCAGCAGAGCTGGCAAAGGGTCTGGAGTACAAGTCTTAAGAGAAGCGGCTGAGTGAACCGGTTTTGTAGAGGACGTTCAGGTTGTACGTGAGGAGAAGTTTCTTCTCAAAAAGAGCGGCTGACCAGGGAGATAGCAGAATCAGTTCTCAAGAAACGTGGAGATGTGGCACTGAGGGACACGGTTAGCGGGCACGGTGGGGACACGTTGATAGCAGGATCCCATGGCACAACCCAGGGCCCGGCCCAACCTCGACATCCCCCGGCTCGTGCCGCCACGGCCCGGCCCGCCCGCCTGCGTCAATGCAAACGAGGGGCGGGGCGCCCCGCCCGCCGGACGGTGCGGCACGGGGCGGCGGAAGAAACCAACGGCTCAGTGCCCCGCACCTCCCTCCCTCCCTCCGCGGAAGCACCGGCTGCCGCGAACACAATAAAACGGTTCCATTTGTTTTCGGCTTCAGGACGGATGCCTCGTCGAAGGCCAGCAAAAGGCCGGCGGATCTTCGGGGCGTCGCTTAAAGGCTGTCACGTCTCCCCGCGCCCTTTAAATGGTAGCGCCCACCTTCGGCGCTCGCCGGTCGGCAGAACGAGCGCATCCCCTCCCTCGCGCTCGTGCATTATTCATGAGGAGGCGGGACCGCCGGCTCATTACCAAGGTCGGGCGGAGGGCGGGACTGTGACGCGACTATGACGGATGTTCCGGCGTTCTTAAGGGGGCTGCAGCCGGCCGGCGGCCGCTGTCGGGGGCGGGGGCAGCGGTGAGGAGCGCTATCCCCGCTCGGGAGCGTTGGGGTACGGCCGGCTGCCGCCCGCCCCGTTCGGTGACCGGCGGCCGGCCGGGGACGGGAGCGCCCCGCGGTGTTGTGCAGCGGCTCGGGGAGCCCCGGGGTGCGGGCGCGGCTGCGGCTGCGAGAGGAGGGGGTGCCCCTTTGGGGGCAGTGCGTGAAAATTAGAGGAGGGGTTGTTGTGGAGTGGGGGGTGGGTGGGGAGGGTTGACAAAAAGGGGTTATTTATTGTTATCAAAACGCTCCGATTTCTGTATGTGGCGTAGCGGGGGTTATACGAGGGAAGACGCTTTATTGTAGGAAGTGGCTATTTTTAGGTTCGCACAGCGCTCTGCGGCAGCGCTCGCCCCCGCCCCAGGTTAATTACCTTTGTCTCCGTGGGGCCGGGGCAGCCCCGCCGGCCCATGGGGGACCCCGGCCCGCCGCCGGCCCCCAGCCGCAGCCCCAGCCCCGGGCCGCCGTGGTCCTTCCCCTCGCCGGCCGCCGCCTCCCGTTCCTCCTCCTCCTCCTCCTCCTGCCCCTTCTCACCCACCGCGCCCGGTTCCTCCGCGCTGTTCCCGGCGCATCCCCGCGGCGCGCAGGAGGAGCGGCCGCCGGCGGTGACACAGCAGCAGCCGGGCGGCGAGAGGCTGGGCAGCGGCCCCGCGCCGGGACACCCCCCTCCCGGCCACCCCTCCTCCGACTTTAAACCCGCTCTCGGCCCCCAGCAGGATTTAAACAAGCAGCAACCGCAGCAGCAACCGCCGCCTCCTCCTCCGCCGAGCCAGAAGAGGAAAGAGTTGAAGCCGCCGCCGCCGCTCAGCCCAGCCCAGCTCGGCGGCAGCCACCCCCCCGACTATCATCGCCACCCCCCTCAGCAGCAGCAGCAGCAGCAGTTCAGCCACCCCACTGACAAGTACCGGCAGCAGGAGCGCAGGCAGCAGCAGCAGCAGCTCCAGCTCCTCGGCGCTCGCCCCCCGGAGCCGCCGCCGAGCCTCGGGCCCCTCAGCCCCGCCGAGCGCCGGGCGGGCTCCGAGCGGGGCGCCCCTTCCCGCGCGGGGGGACCGGCGCCCGCCGACCCCGATGTGGGGGTGGCCGCCGCCGCCTCCTGCGTGAATCCGCCGCCGTCTCCTCCTCGTCCGCGGGCGAGAGCCGAGCCGCCCCCCATGGAGTCCCCCCCGAACAGCCACTTGCTGGGCAGCCCCGGGACCCTCCTGCCCGGCGGGCTCGGCTCCGGCTTCAGCAGCCTGCAGAGCCCGGAGATCCCCAGCCCCCATCACCAGAGCGGGGGCGGCTCCTCCTCGGCGGCTTCCCCTCCTCCTCCGCCGCTGCCCGGCTTCGGCACCCCCTGGTCGGTGCAGACTTCGTCGCCGCCTCCGCAGCAGACGCAGCAGCCTCCGGTCTCCAGCGGCGGAGGGCAGATCAGCGCCATGCCGCCGCCGAGCCCGGAGTCCGAGACCAGCTTCTACCCGGGGATCCCGTCGTCCATCAACCCCGCTTTCTTCCAGAGCTTCTCGCCGGTGTCTCCTCACAACCCCTGCGCCGGGCCCTTCAGCAGCCCCTTCTCGGCCGCCGCCCCGCCGCCGCCGCCGCCGCAGATGAATTTACCTCAGCAGCAGCAACAGCAGCAGAACCGGAGGTCCCCGGTGAGCCCGCAGCTCCAGCACCAACACCAGGCGGCCGCCGCCGCCGCCGCCTTCCTGCAGCAGCGGAACTCCTACAACCACCACCAGGTACCGGGAGCGGAGCGGGGGGCGCCGCGCCGCGGGAGGGCACCTGCGGCCCCGCGGGGAGGCGGCGGCGCTCGGGCGGAGGCGGTTGGCCGCCGATCCCCGCCCGTTCCGCGGGCAGGTGGAGGGGCGCGCCGCGCCCGCGCCCCCGGAGACGCCTTTTCGCCTCGCGAAGGGGCCTCGCCGGCGGAGTATTCCTCCCCCCCGCCCCGCTCCCTCCCCGTCGGCATGCGGAGAACGCGGCGCGCCCCGAACAATGCGCGTGACGGCTCCCGGCCGCCCCGCCGCTCCCTGCCCGCCCCGCCCGGGGCCGCCCGCAGCGCTGCGGGCACCGCGCGCCCCGCCGGGGCTGTCAGCGCCGATCCCGAAATGGCGTGGGTTTGCACCCGCGGACAGGGCAGTGCTTCGGGCCGCCTGGCTTCGCTGCTGGCTGTAACGAAGCGTGCTGTGACAGTTTGGTGTTCAGATGGAAGTTGGTATTGTTTCTTGGAACAGAATAGTGATTGTTGGAAGGCGGAGAGCGGCAGAGCCGCGCTCGTCGCCTGCTGGCCCTGAAGGCCTGGGTGGCACGGGCCTCTCCCTCATTTCTCTTTCGTTGTAACACAAATCCTGTCCGTCAAAAACAAAACAAAAAAAAACAGTGGAGGCGGGTTTGTGCGGAATTTATTTCATAACCCCGATGCTGGGATCCCGTCTGAGGTGTCACGGAGTGACTTTGGGCTGTGGTGGTGCAGAGGTGGTTCTCGGTATCTGTGTGCTCTTCGGAGGCGTCCCCGCACCGTACAAGAGTTTTCTCAATCATTATCAGTTGTGGGCAACCCGAGGCTGTGCCCGTGACAGCCCAGCTGGCAGTGTTAGAGGCATGTTAGCATTTGGCATCATCTCCTCAGGTTTGTTTCACAACACAACGCTGGCCTCTCCCAAAATTCCAGCCGAAGTGTTCAAGTTCTACAGCGTAATTATCTGTAATTATACGGAATGGGATGTTTGCCTGATTACCTGACCAAAAATGGCCTTCGTGTTTTTCTGTTTGTTTTCATGGGGAGAGGGCATTACAGTTGTATCTTTCTGTCTTCAGAAAGTTCTGTATAAACCATAACATGTCGATGTGTCTTAAATGTTTAAGTTACTGGAATTACAAGCTAAGGGCTGCCTGCAGCCTTTGAGGTGGAAGCGCTGCATTCAGCTGTAAACTTAACTTAGAATGTCCACCCCACACCCATTTGTGTGGTGAGAAAAGCCTTTCCCCAGCAGCCAGGTTTACAACACCGAAGGTAAATCCTGCTCTGTGCTGACAGTTGGGCTCAGTGGGTCCACCTCTTGGTGGTACAGCGGCCGCCGGGGTCTGTCCTCAGCACAAGTTGTGGTGTAGGAACCAAAACTTCTCACCCTGTAAAATCTTTGCTCTGAAGACAGCTTACATTTTTAATACTGAGGAGCATAGTGGTTGAGATACCGAAATACTTTGTACTGCTTCTAAGTAGGGAGAAGAATCTTTTTATAAGAGCGAGCGAGCTGCGGAATTCCAGAGATAGTCCGGTATATGACTCCAAAAATACTTGAGCAGTGGCTTCAGAATAATGCATTTTAATGTGGAAATTGTTAAGATAGCTCTTCAAACAGATTCTCTGCACGGTGATCAGTGCCTTTTTTGCTCTTATATGGTAATACTTTGACAATACTGAGATGGCAATACTCAAAATATTGGGGAAAAAATGAAGGAGGATTTTAATTTTTGAATTCCTCATCACTGATGTAAAATGACCAACTTGAAATTCTTGTGTTATTTTTTTCAGATATCTTATTATAAAATGTGAAATAGTGTATCAGTGAGGTGATTAATGGCCTGATCCTTTTTGTAACACCGTTTTTAACCCTGGGGTTGCTCTCTGCATACGTGTGAAGGAGCCTGGCAGTTCCTGCAAGGATGAAAACCTAAATTGCCAGTACAGGGACTGTGGAGGAGGGAGAGTTACAATAAGGCAACTTCTTGTGGCTGTATTACATTTTCTACTTGGCCTCAACAATGAACTAATACAATATCAGAAAAAAAGTTTATAGGAATGTTCTGAGCATTGACTGCTTAGTATTTCTTTGCTCTTAAGTAGAAAAATCCTTTTCAAATATTTTCAAAATAATATGAATTAATCTTTCTTTTTAGCCTCTTCTGAAGCAGTCGCCGTGGAGCAATCAGAGTAGTGGCTGGAGCACAGGAAATATATCCTGGGGAGGAATGCATGGCAGAGACCATCGTAGAACTGGAAACATGGGAATTCCAGGAACTATGAACCAGATATCTCCTTTGAAGAAACCCTTTTCTGGTAATGTCATAGCTCCACCTAAATTTACTCGCTCCACTCCATCACTGACTCCAAAATCATGGATTGAAGATAATGTTTTCCGAACTGACAACAACAGTAATACTCTCCTTCCCTTGCAGGTAAGGATGGTATGTAACTGGTGTGTTCATAGTCCTGTGTAGCATTTGTGTGCATTCACTAAAGTAGAATTCAGCAGTGGTTACTGTCCTGATACTCAGTTTGGAATTTGTGTTTATGTATAATTTTTACTCTTGAATAGCAACTAGCACCAACATTTTCAGTGTATTGAGCAATATATGATCCTTACAGTTAGCTAAGAATATTGACTGTCACAAAAGATGGAAATGCAGCAATAGAAGAACGAAAACGTTTAATCCAGCAAGTGTTTTCTGCTTATCATTACACTCACATTCTTATAAATCCCCTGAATATTTACAGTTGGGTGTGGCTTTTATTTATTTTTGTTCACTCATCCTTGTACACAGATTTTCTTGCAAAACCTCGCAGGCGTCTCTGAATCTTCATCATGGAAGTCTTTTTTCTGGTCTTCTAGTCTGATGTTTGTGTATTAGAAAGATTTGCTGCCTCTGCATTCTAGCAACTTTAATATTAAGCTTTGGCTATTATGCTTGGGTTGGAAGCCTCGTGAGTTAGAAGTGCGTAACAGGCAGATGTGTCAGTACTATGAATCCTGAATTTTGCCAGTGACTTCTTGTGTGACTTTAGGTAAGTCACTTAACTGCAATCTCATCCATTGTTATTTGGATCCCATCTTATTATGTGCTTGCCTGGATTCACTTATTTGTTACCATTTCTTGATAGCTGAGAACTGTATTATTTTGGATGCCAAATCTCAGTTACGATTCAAACAATTTCTAGGCTACTCTTTTAAGTTACAAAAAAAGAGCTTGGGCAACTTGATTTAGAAACTATGCATTTTAAAGAAGCAGATTAGTCCATGAGTACTGTATGTTTTTTAATTTTTTTCACACCTGTATCAGCTTCAGTCTGTCTTACACTGAACTACTGTATTCCGGCTTAAGTAAAAATTATCATATGGAAGGAAAACAATTACAATGTGGAGGTAAAGAAACATACAGCTATTATAGTTTTTTCTTAAGTCTCACACTTAGTGATTCAGAGTTTTGATTTGTCATCGTTGTGATCGTATTTGAACTTGTATAGATGTACTCCATCAGTTAGCCATTTAAACCTAGTGTGGCTGTAGTGGTTGCAAAAGGGTGTTCTTGGGGACCAGGTTTCCCACCAAGGTCCTTATTTTTCTTAACATTTTCGTGGTGAAGTTCTATTTGGCATGAGAAGCAATGTGCTGACTGCCTGAGTGAGTGCTGATACTGGCAGTATTCGTGGGGCTAGCAGTGGGGTTGGGCCTGAAAACTTGGGAGGATTTGGCCATTCTGTGAAGACCTATTCCCTTAAGTAGCTTTGCTAGCTGGAAGATCCTGGTTGAGTCTTTTTTTTCCTCATGGGTGAAAAGATGGGGAAAAAAAGATGTCATTCTATACATTTTTAACCTGATCAACTAAGAAAAACAGATTACAGATACGGGGGAGTGCTTTGCAATGTGCTTCAGGAACAGTTGCAAGTTAACGCTGAAATGTCTTTTCAAGATACCAGCCTAAGGAATTGGGTTAAAAATATTAACACCATCATACGTGGGAACTGCAGTGATGTATCCACTGGAATTCACATGCAGCAAGTACAAGTGGTGAATATATTTTTACTTCCTCAGCATTCTTTACAGGGAAGGATGACGATTGCTTTGAACTGTAAGAAGCATCTGCTGTGGTCATGATGAACAGATCATCATCAGTACAGATGAACTTATTTTTTGTCTAAACAAAAGTGCATTCCAACTATAATTTAAAGCATTTCAATATATTATGGTAGGGGAAAAAAGCTTGAAATTTGGTTCTAGAAACATAAATTTATTAGGTTTTTGTGTTTTGGGGGGAGGGAGCTGATGGGTGCACTTCATTATTCCTCTCATCTGAGAACACCAGAGCCACCAATTAGATAGGCCTGCTTGCCTGACTGTACTTATGTTTTACATCTGTCAATCTCTTGCGTGTATGAAGTCATAGCTGCGGAAATCAGTAAAAATACTCCTATTTGAAGGCTTCCTACTGCTATTGTGGAAACATTAGATGCTTCCATAAATTATTTTGCTACATTGAATTGGTGTTCTTATTTTTCAGTTTTTATACTATTGTTATGGTTGATTCCTTGTAATGACTGCTAAATTTTAGAAGTCACAATGAGAAGTTAAATAGAGTTTAGAGCTCGTGCTTCTTTTCATCAGGACTTGTGTTGGCAATTGTGGTGCTGTCAAACACCCATCTTGTTAATTTGTACTGTGCTTGTCTCCTTCCATAAAAGGCTGAGGTATTTCGATTGAGGATTCTTAAAGGTACAGTAGCTGTTTCTGAAGACACTCAAAAACAAGTCATTAAATTTGAGGCATTTTGAAAGTCTTATGGCAGAGCACTTACATGTGTGTACAAGTTTCCTGTTACTTTTGAGCTTTCACAGAGTGACTGCAGCCTTACAGGCCTGTTCAACACATACTGCATCATTCTCAGCTTTGCAGAATACTTTTCCATGTGACCACACATCAGTGTTTTAATTGCAATCATCATTTTGCATGGCAGGGGGTAAAGCACCACTCCTCCAAACTTCAGCTAGCTGTTTTAAAGCTTTTAGGTTAGCTCAAGCTTAGCAGTTGAAGATGTAGAAAAGCCAGTGCTCCCGCAGATAGACTTTCTGCAGATCACTCATGTTCTGCTAAGCATTTGTGAAAGTTTTCTAATTTTGCAAAGTTTGATGTTCAGTGTCAGTGAGATGAGCAGCACAGAAATTGTATAAAAATTCAAAGCTTATCCCTTTCGAACTTCCTTGGTGTTCGTGTTGATGGGGGAGGAATTCCCAGTATGGGAATGTGGTCCTACTAGTTACAGTAAAGCTGCTTTTGGTTAGGGCCATTATGAGGGCATGTTGGCAATTTTAGTTTGTTTTTGTGTTTTTTAGAATAGAGGTAGTTAAAATATCATGACAACACTGCCTTAACTTGGTCACGTATAAATCAACGGTCATCTTTTGTGACTTTCTGTAAGAAGCTTCCCCTCCCCCTTAAGATGTTAAGATAACAAAATGCGTTGACTAAAGCTCTCTCACGGGTGAAATTGTGTCTACAAGTTTTAGCTCTGTCACACTGCTTGTACCATTACAGGTACTCCACATAGGAAAGGGATTATTGCCTTGCGCTGGAATCACTGGGGAACAATTAGAAGTACATGTCACACTATCTAACTTAGTCATTTTAATGCAGTAACCTACTTCTATCTCCTTAAAGAGAACCCAGGCTCCTTTTTTAGATAACCTAATTCTCTAGAAGAACATACCTGTTACCACTGACTGCATACAGTCCTGAATTCCAGTTCAGTCTTGCGGTACGCGTGCTTTATTCTCTGATAGACAGTATCAAAAAAAAGAAAGAAAGCCACAATTGAACGTGGGATATGAAGTTTAGAAATACATTTGTAATCCCTAGTACTGATTTTTCCTAAATACATGCTTTGGGCATTCCCATGGCTGAAACATAACCACGGAAGCCAGAGTTGTGTGTGCGCTTTTTTCCTATTTACATTTATTGGACGAGGAAAATAATGAACCATCTCTAAATATATATGTGTGTGCATGTATAAATATAAAATTGTGTACTAAATCTCTTTTGATACAAGTTTAATGTTTCTCAATATCTTGAAAGTAAGCTTATTAAAAGCTACAGCGAGTTCAATAAGAATTTTCATTCTAGTAATAAAAAAAAAAACACACTGTTTAACTGAAATGAATACGAGTTTAGTTTGTGTTTCTTTTGAATTCAGGAAATACATGGCATGTCTGGGTGTTTTTCACCTTGATTTGTCCTTCCTGTTTGTTCAAACAAACAGTACATGTAATGTTCATGGTCCTAAAAGCTGAACTTCTGTGTTTGAGCGCAGCTCTCCAGCTGGGGGTTGTGTGGTGAGGCACAGTCTCTCAAAAACGCAGATTTTACTTTTTCTATTTGTTTTGAAGTTTGCTGAAGTTCCAAAGAAAACAAGACCCTTCTGAAGTAAAATGAATTTTAAAATTGTACCTCCCAGCAGGTGTTAGTTTTAGATGTTAATTTCAGCTGTTGTCACATTGCTTCTGTCTTACAGTCACCTCCGCTCAGAAAATTTCAGATTCTCTGAGTATATCAATTTAAGATGGTATATTGAAGGTGTATTCATGTCTTAATTGACATCCGGATGATACACATACCAGCCAATTCTAGCTGAAGAATAACTTTTTCATTTTAGGTTCTTAATTGTCATATTTATACTCCTAAATGTGTGGTCAGTTTGTTCAGAAGTGCTGCTGAGTGTTTTGCTGCTCTGGTTAAATGTGGAAGGCCTTGAAAGTATCTACCAGTGAAGTTATCTTAGTCTACAGATGAGTGTGATTGTCTGAACTCTCATAAGCCAGGCTTTTCTGGTTTATTTTTACTAAGGCAACACCTGCAACAAAACAGTGCCTCTGGGATTTCTGATGAAATATATTGAGTGCCTGGATATGATTAAATATCACTAAAGCTTATGCACAAAACCAGTTTTTTGCGTTTTGGGGACAATACTGAGGATATCCCTAATTGGAGGGAGTAGTCTACTGACAGGCTTGTAACTTCAGGTTTGGTACTTTTGAATAAACAATGCTGGTGACTACATGGATAATCGAAGGAATGAATTCACTGAATGTTTTACGTATGTGTAACGTAAACGTGTGCATGTTTTTCCATCTTTTTCTGACCTAAGAATTCTTATTAAAATTTATTTTAGTTATTGAACTGCTTGCTTAGTTCATTCAATTACTGCAAAAATTGGAATTAGGAAGATTGAACTTTTTATTTAGCAGCTATGACGGCATATATGTCGTTGGTTTACTAAGTAGCATATCTAGCCTTGTTCATCGTGCCAAAGCACAGTTTTCTAAAGTTAAAATGAGTGTTCTCACTTAAGACCTGTCCAAAAGCACATTTACTGTATGTTCTGATATGTTTATATTCCAGTACTCAAGA